AATACCATACTACAGAAGGAATTATGGGTCCCAATTCCCTAATTGTTGTATATGTGGACCCTTTGGGATTATTATTGTTGCTATCATTCTGACTATTATTACTATTGCTATCATTAGTATTCTTACAAGTATTATCGTTCTTATGAATATTAGTATCAAAAGTTCTTAAGACGCCACGCCTTGCTTTTTCATCCCAAGCCACGCCTCCCATGTGCTGAGCCCTGAAGCCTAAGTCTGTTTCGGGTTTAGGGTTTAGGGGTTTAGGGTTTAGGGGTTAGGGTTTAGCCCTTAAACCCTAATTCCAAACCCTAAATTCCAAGCCCTCAACCCGAGCCCGATATTGTAAATAACAATCCCGGATCACAACCCCTCCACACCACCAATCCAAACTTACGTTCCAAACCATGGACTCCAGGCCCCCCCCCCCACCACAAAGCAAGAATTAAGCACTGCCCTATCCCTAAACCCCAATCCCTAAACCCTAAAGCTTCAAACCGTGAACCCTAAACCTCAATCCCTTGACCTTGAAGCTACAAAGCGTAAACTCAAATCCCTAAACCACCCTGAGCCCCCCAAGGCGTCGCCTTCTGCGAAGCATCTTCAAACTGCTCTGCCAAGGCTGACAGCTGATTGTCCTTGTCCATCCAGTAGGGTTGAAGGTTTAGGGTGAAGGGTTTAAAGGGTTAAGGGTTTAGGGTGGAGGGTTTAGAGGGTTCAGGGCTGAGGGTTTAGGGTGGAGGGTTTAAAGGGTTTAGGGTTGAGGGTTTCGAGGGTTTCGAGGGTTGAGGGTTTAGGGTGGAGGGTTTAAAGGGTTTAGGGCTCAGGGTTTAGATGAGCTACAGATTACATAGGGTCTCTTGGGTTTAGGGATATTGCCCCGATAAATGGAGAATGAATGAAAAACAAAATGGTAAATGCTCATTTGACTGTGTATATAGAGGTTCCATATGGATATTGTCTCCAATAACGGAGACTCAAATGGAAAGGAATGTGGAACATGAAATGGCAGCGGGCTTTAGGTAATGATGAATAAATAGATAGATAACTAAATAGAGAGATAGCTTGATGGTAACATTTCCCACGCATCTAATGGACATGGTTTCCTATTAGCGCAGAACTTAGGGACTATACTTAACTATCACAGGGACCACTATGTCCACTCTTAATGGTCCCTTGGTAAGCGTACTGATGACAGTAGCTTGGGGAGATACTTGCCTTGATCTGTGTGGCTTTGCCGCCTAAAACAATGATCCCTAACAATCCCAAAGCTCTAGCTGATAAGCCCTTAGCCTGAAGACGTACATGAAATACGAACCCTCAACCCTGAATTGAAAACTATAATCACTCAACCCTCATCCCTAATCCCTAAACCCCAAACCTTACTGTAAACCCTGAACCCTAAAACGCTGGACCCTAAACCTGTGAAGTTAGACCCCATCCCCATATCCTGCGTTGAGGGCCAGGGAGGCTTAGTAAGTGCCCTAAACCCTAAACCCTTAGTCATTGCCACTGCAACAAAGGAACACTAGCCCTCCCAGAGCTAACCTACTTAATTACTGGGTTTAGGGTTAGGTTTAGGGTTAAAACCTTAAACCCTAAACCTCTCTTAGGGTTTAGGGTTTAGGGCGTACGTATACATATATATATATATACATACACATATTTACTGATTTGCTTCTACCTTCATACCAAGCCCCAAGGGCCCCTAAACCCTCAACCCCGAAAGCCCGTCCTTCAGGGCCAAGCCTTCCTCCAAGGTCAGCAGGCGCATATGGAAACCTGGGTTGCTGTTGAGAAACTTAAATTAAGTTAACATAATGGGTATATGTCTATATATATATAGTGGCTAATACGGTTCCCCTCATATAGTAACTTAGATTAAGTTACCATAATGGGTATACAGATATATATACATATATATTGTAACTAATACGGTTACCCTTATATGGTAACTTAAACTAAGTTCCTTAACAGCAACCCAGAAACTGCGGTGGAGGCGCAGCGCCTGGCGGAACCAGCCCAGTTTTCTGGGTTTAGGGTTCGCGTTAGGGTTATGTGTGTAGGGTTTGGGATTTAGGGCTTAGTTTAGGGCCAGGGCTCAGGGAGTGATACGGCTTACGGTGTA